CATAGTTTCCTTTTTCAAGGGAACTATTGCACCTTTTTTCAAAGGGCTTCCACCACCATCCTTTTTCAAGGACCCCTTGCTGGGCTTTTCCTTTTTCAAGGAAGGGCTGAGGGCTTGTGTGGGCAGTGTGACAACCTTTTTCAAGGTGTCCTGGAGCAAGCTGTATTCCAACCCTGTGAGGTTGGAAACACATGCTTGCACCCCACCACCCCTGGACAATCTCCTTACATGGGAAAGGAGAACTCCAATTCTCTCAGCCCTCAGGTTGACATACACAGAGCCTTTGAACTTGCTGTTGTTCAGTTCAGGCTTCTCTGTGATCATTTTTGTCAGACATGCCCTGAGGGGTTGGGGGTGGATCTCACAGCTTGGCTCCAAGTCCAGCAAATCCCCCACCAGTGGAAGGAGATTATACAGTGCCCTGAGATCAGCTGCAGAATTTCTGCTGGGTAGCTCATACCCTTTCATATCTACCCACAGGTCTTCATGCTTGCTCAGCACTTTGTGAAGCAAGCCTGTCTCAATGTATGGCTTGGGGCGGTGCCTGGCACCTCCTCTGCCAGACATTGCTTTTGAAAAGGTCTCTTTTTCAAGAGACCTTTTTCAAGGTGATTTTTTCCAAGTCTTTTTTCCCAGAGACCTTTTTCAAGGTGCAAAGGCGAGCCTTTTTCAAGGTGGAAGTTGTATTGTACTGTGTATCTTTCTATAGGTATCAGTGCTTGGCCCTTGGTGTTTTGAGCCAAAAAAACCTGCAAATCAGCAAAATCAAAAAAATCAATATAATCAAAAAAATCAATACCAGATATTGATTCTGACCCCACCTTTTTCAAAAGGCAAATCAATATAATTTTCAAATTTCTGATCAAACTTTTCAATATGAGAACTTTTGAAAAAATCAATTCATATCAAACTTATCAAAATCAATCTAAAACCATGAAGTTTATTGATTGTAATCAATATTCGATGCTCAGGGTAAGGCTTGTACATCACAAAGCTTCACCGCCAATGTTGTTGGCTTCCGCTTCACATGGCCCATAGGACCTTGATCAAAGTGGAGCAACGTGACGTCGTATGCATCAGCAAAAGCTTGCCACTCTTGAGTCCGCCAAATCGACGTGAAACCTTTCTCTTGTACTTCAGCGACAGGGCGGTAACGAGCTGGATCTTCCGGCTGCTCAACAGCCAGTGCCGTTTGAGGTTCTTGTTCATGACGGACATCCGCGCACAGCATGTACAGAGCCAGCATCCGGAACAGCAAAACACTATCACCAGTGACCAAGGCCTGTTCCGAGGACGACAAAGTCGGCAATCCATAGGGATATTCTTCTGTTCTGAGGATGCCAGGTCCACCATCTTCTTGATACCAGAGGGCTGACACTGTTCTGCAAGGCGGGCCACCAATGATGGCCTTAACCTTTCCGGAAGCTGCAAGCGACAGCAGGTACCGGTAGATGTGGTCGTCGCGCAAATCCGCGGAGATCTCCGCTTGCAAATCGATGCAAAGCATCTCAACGCTGCCTTGCTGAATGGCCTTCTCCCAATACTTGGAGTCCGGGCCAGAAAACAAATGGAGCACGATCTGTTTGGCACGCTCCAGTCTGCGGCGCTTCCGCCTGTTCCAAGGGAGACGACTGCCATCCACACTTTGCAAATCATCAAGCTCCGGAATGATCCTCATCAGGATGTCATCCGGCAAAGCCTTGAACAAAGTTTTCAACTTGTACGTCATAACCATCTCCGTGGACTGTTGAATGGACTGAATCATCTCCACAGATGGATCCAGGGGGCCAGACTTCCCCTGAGACTTCAGCTTGCACTCTGTCTTGCGATGGTCTTTTCCACCACAAATCCAGCACCGAGCGGCTTTCGCATGTGGAGGCCTTGGCCGGTCGAGGCCTTGGCCGGTCCCACGTGGAGGCCTTCACCGGCCCCACGTGGAGGCCTGTACCCGGAATGCAGGGTCAATAAAAACATCACACTTCTGCAATCTTCTGTGTACACTTATTGACTTTTATACATTAAATAAAACAACTATATATATATATATTATTTGTATATATATATATCTAATTGTATACATATATATATATGTCTGAAGGATCCTTCAGGACATGTCATCTGTCCCTCCTCTACAAAATGGAGGGACTCAACCCTTGGGCTTGTGCCTTTGATTTCGTACAGCAGGCCTGTCCTCAATACCGTCCCAGGAGTGCGACCATTTGCAATTGCGGCCTGCTTTGCACCCCGTCTCGGAGCGAAAGTACTTGCAGGGAATGGATGCCAGAGAGGCGCCCTTGCCCTTTTCCACCGAACTAGTGATTTGAGGTGGCTTGCCACGTGCATCCATTTGTTTCACCTTCACAGGCGTTGAGGTTGTAGTCGATGGAGCAGTGGCCATGAGACACAATGTTTCCGCCTCAGCAAGCAGACATTGGCTAAAGCGCCACACACCATCGTGCAAAGGCTGTTGGTCAATCCCCAACTGCAGCCTGCTCTGGGCCAAACGAAAGGCAGCTTGAGCATCCAGAGCCCCAATCTGAGCAACAGCCGTTTCAAGGGCCTTCAACAACAAAGTCCCATCCGGAAGGATCGCCCCGATCTCCTGTGCACGGGCATAGTGTCGCCGCCAAGACCTCAGAGCCGCTGCCAGTTCAGAAGTACCTGAACTCTTGTCCAGCGATGTCAACTTGGCCAACAGGATTGACTTTTCCCCGGAACCACCGGGCTGGTACCTGACCAACAAGCGAAACAGCAAGGCCGTCGAGGTCAACTCCCTGGCTGTGATCAAAGCTTGCTGCTGATCCGCCGGGATGGCCTTCAACAAGAGGTTCACACCACGCTGCTCGGTCCGCTGGTAGCATTGGTCCAGCAACTCATCAGGCAGCTTAGGAACAATTTGAACTCGTTCCAATGGCGAAGATGTTTTCCATCTCTCATAGTAGCACTGCGCTTCCCTTGTGGTCAAATTCCACCACCTGGAGGACACAGATGAGATGCGGGACACTCAGGGTCCTTGCGCCAATGCCCCTTCTTGTGGCACACGGAACAGTAGCTTCTAGCTTTTGCCTGCTGAAGGCTTCGACTGGGTGAATCCCCGTTCTTTCAAGGCAGCCCGGTACTTGCTCTTGGCATTCCGGAAGGCGACAAAGGCCTCATGGGTGCGCTCATCGTCCAAGAACTCCTCCTCATCGATGTCGGAGAGGCCGGGCTCGTCGTCGGCCTCGTCATGCAGGGAGGTCATGAGGGCTTGATGCCCTTTTCTCTTTCTTGTCACCATCTTGTCGCCTTGAGAGGCGCCTGTTCATCCTGTCCTGGATGACTGCTGCGTCCTGAAGCTTCTGGAGGTTGTACAAGTTACCAACCGATGAAAGAAGGTTCAGCTCAGTGGCATTGTCCAACCTCATCTTATCCACATACCACCAAGCTAGGCATGTGTCAGGGAGTGTGCAACCCACCTCCCTTAAGCGGCTTATCTGCCTGTCAAACTCCTGGTTGAAGTCGCGGATGTCCTGGTTGGTCGACTTCTTCAGGGCCTTGAAGAAGTCCGACATGTAGCGACCTACCTTGGTGACCTCCCAGTCCATGTACTTGTCCTTGATCCACGACAGGAAGATCTCCACCCCATTGTCGGCGTCCAAGAGGGACAGGTCCAACTCCTCAGCATCGCGCCAGGCCCACCTGACAAGCTGTTGTACAGCATGAGAGCCTGCTTTCCCCTCGAGAGTCGGGTCACTCGTCTCCAGGCTTCAACTTTCCGGATGCACCCTTTGGCTTTCAACCCATCACGATCATCTTCTCCCGAGTACTCCAGAACCTGGATTTTGTCTTGTCCGCCACCTCCATGCCGACGATCGTCGCCTCCAATCCATGGGTCTCCGCCTTGTGAGGTCCACCAAGGATCACCCTGGGAAACCTGTGGTGCAGTAGGTGCAGCTGAACCCTCTATCGAAGAAGACGGCCCGGCCCCATTCCCCTGAGTCGAACCACCTCCTCCGCTAGGTCCAGGACCCCATGCATAGAAGCTATTCCATTGCCTCCATTCTGCTTCTGACCAGCCCCTTCGCCCCCAGGACTGTTCAGAGGTTCTTTGAGATGCTTCTTCTTCTTCTCGATCTCCAACTTGTTCTTCTTCATCATCATCATCATCATCATCGGCGCCATCAACGGCGCTCGGCGATGGCATCGTGCCTTCACCGCCACACCACGTAGATCCCAGAGCCACCCACGGAAACCTCGACCAACACGGACTTCACAAAGTCCCACAAGTAGGGCTCCCTACCCCAAAAGCCGCGCTCACGGAGCGCGGAACCGGCTCAACGCTACCAATGTGAACAGAAAAGTCACGCTACCTTTCACCTCAAATGAACCCTTGTGCCTGAAACAGCAAGACGAGGCAACAGGCTCAACTGGGGTGTACATTCACAGTGCCTTTTCGCCTCCTACCCCCCCCCACACCCCCTTAACTCACTTCGTTCGGTCGAAAAGCTCAAGCCTAGCCTATCGGCTGGCTTTCGTAATATATACTTATACTACTGTCTAATGACTTAGGCCAACGTGATGCAAGTGACATACCAATCTGGCTACCCCCAGGGCTAAGTCATGTGCCCTGACATATCGAGCAAAAAAAATGTCTGGGTTGGGAAACCTGGTGTCATAGGACCTGTGGACACCTCCTCGACAAAAAAAGGCCAAAAAAAACAGCTAAATAATGCTAGATACCACTGCCTGGCACCCTGGTGACACAGTGGTGACATAGGGTGCGACTATGTGTTTTTGCGGGCGCTGCTTCCTTGAATACCTCATACATATTTCTATGAATATCATGGTTGTGGCCTGATGACATAGGCCTTAAGAGGAAATGCCAATGTTGGATCAATCCTGATGACATAGGCTTTTGGAATTGGCGTGTATGTCCGACAAGTCCTAAGTTTCTAGTCAGTAGTATATATATTTATATCAATATCTATTTATATACATATAGCTGTTTGACAGTCTGATGCCTCGCTTAATCTTTGTTCAGTGCCTCAGAGCAGGCCAGCATTTCTTCAGTGGTCAATGAATGCACTAGTTAGATGGGCATATAAAACCTATGGTCAACTTCAAGTAGAAAACCCGGCGCAATAGCTCTTAGGTTCCAGCGGAACAAATGAAACCGAAGAGAGGTTTCTTGACTCCGCTGATTTGCTTTCGCTGCAAAAACAACCTGCAAAGGCATCTTCGAACATGCCAGCTCTTTGGCACAAAGAGCGAGACAGCACGAGTAACAGCATCACCAGCTCACAAAACACTGCCCTGTCTCTCATCAAACAACAAACCAATTGCAAAAGTGTGAAACCAATACCATATATTGTACTGATCACAGAGTCTGTATCCCAAAGCCACTACAAACTTCTACACACTTACAAAGACTCATGGGTCCTCAAGCTGCATGTTATGTCTTGCTTTGAGACCAAACATGCAACAGCTGTGTGGCACTTGGAGCCTGCTTGACTTTTTCGCGGTAGTGAAGCCTGGCAGCCCGGTTCTCCACTGCCTGGGCTCAAAAAGAAACCATGGCTTTCCTAGAGTTCTCCAGAAACAACCTAGGGAAGCAAAAGCAAGGAAGATCGAAGGAAGGCTTGAACACAAAACAAAGAGTTGGCAAGATAATTTATGTGAAAACTCTCGTGCGTCCAACCATTCATCCTCGCAAATTATCTTCATAGAAATTGCAGGGCCTCTTGAACTCTTGTGGATGTCCTTTCTTGCTGTGACAAAAGCATGATGAAATATGCTGGTCAGGAGGCGGCTACCGTCTCCTCTGTGCAAATTCCTACAAACCTCCTAGGGTTCTAGGGCCTTGTTCAGATTGTGTGTTCATGCCAAATGCGTGTGAACACATGGCCAAAATGATTGCGCAGCCCTAGGACTCTATCATGCTTTTCGCTGTCACTTGATGCTCTGGAGCTTTGCAAAAATGAAGAGGAACGTGTCTGAACAGAGTAGGCACCAGAGGGCTCAAGCACTTCCTTTTGACCAAAAAAGGGTTGTGCTATTCTTGACAGCAACTCACAAGACTGCCAACACTGGGACCGCCACCAACAGAACTCTACCAAACGCAATGTAAAGCTCAACAGAGGAAAACAAGAAAGACGACGACGACAATGGTGAAACTCCTTGCACCACTCAACCCCCTTTGTTTGAAGCAAACCTGACTTCAAATACACAAAATGACCTTCCCAACATCTAAAGCAAAAAGACTCATTCACTACAGAAGAATAAGTAACATGCCATATGTCCTGGCATTCCTCAAAGAAAACAAGAAAACACTGCGAAGGACTAAGAAGAACAGGAAAGGACAGAACGGAAGAGTTCGAGTCCACGAGTCCAACACTTGGCCTTGAGTTTCTTGGCTCTTCTCGGGCCAGTCCGCACACCTGAAACAGAGCTGGAATAGATTAAGTTTCCCTAAAAATCTAGGGGGAGATTCCTTGAAGAATCGTAAGCTATCCTGCGTCCTGTCGGTAGTAGCTACTTAAGCTACTAGCGACTCCCTAGCTTCTACTAGCTACCTCTAGCTCCTACGTCCCCCAAAAAAAAGAGCATTGCTCTTTGTTCCGCCACGTGGGGCACCTTGAGGCACCAAAGCCTTGCAACGAATCGACTGCTTCGGGCAGAGAGGAAAAAGCAAACGAGACTCGACTCGACGGCTTTCATAGCCTGCCCATTTCCGACAGAGGAAAACCTGTCAGGTGTCATGGTTGCAGTCTGAAAGTTTTCCTGTTTGTTCTCGCACTTGCCTTGTGATCAATGTTTGCCAGCCAGTACATTCAATCCGGGAGACGTAGCCATTGGCAGCACGCATACAGTTGTCTTGCTTGATCTGCAGTGTCTCAGGAGCAGTTGAAATAGTCGCACCTGTTGCTTCTCTCGAATTGGACAATCAACTGTTGTACATGCCTGCCAACTAAGACTTTCACAAGTTGCATCTGCCTTAACGTCCTCCTCTTGAGACAAATCAATCTGAAATCAATCTGAAACAAAAATATGTGTATCGACACAGAAAAAGGAAAAAGAAAAGCTTCACAGGCACCAAACCGGCATGCCATCGGCCAGTTTTACTGCGAGCTGGGTGAAACGATCTTGTTATGCAGATAATTGTGCATCGATGTTGGGCGCAAGTAGTGACCAATTTCAAAACAATGTCTCCTCAGTTCAAGTCCGTTTATACTATAGACATAACTATATGCGTACATGTATATATACAATATATACATATGAGTGCTGGAGTAGAAACAATATCAAAAGTTTGCCTTATGAGCCCAAACAGTGGCTGCAACTAGGCCCCGGAATGAAAGCCCATCAGGCTATTCATGCTTGGCACAACAGAGTCCTGCAAGATGCCAAAGAGAACAAAGACTATGGGAGGTCATTCTGGAGATTGCTCCAGGAAATGTCTTTCGAAAGTTTAGGTCTAGATATGTATTTATATATATATATGTATCTATTATATACATACATAAAGCTTAGGCAGGGACGTCAGGAATTGTTTCGCCTGTGCCGCTCCTTGAGAACCTAGCATGACTGTCATTCTAGGATGGAGTGAGTCCTTTCCCGACAAGGACTTCCGCTGATGAGGCAAACAAATGATCATTCAACAGTTGTTGCAAGCAGGACATTAATGCACATTTGTATACCCGCGCCAGCATGCAGGTGACGAACTCGTCCCGTTCCATTGGAGAGGAGAACACCAAATTCATGCGCCTCAGCACTGACTCGTAAAGTGAGTGGAAAACAGAATCCGCAGACACAATGAGCAGCTTTTGTGCTTGCAATCACACATATAATTTATATAGCCAGGTGCGTGTCATGCAATTCAGTCTCAGACCGATTGTCCATCACAATCACAGCTGCCAAAGCATCTGAAGGCAGGGAGACCTCAGAGGCAGGCTTTGTCTGTGCAACTTGGTCAAACTCATGAGACTCATGATTTCAATTAGTCATTCTACCGTCTGAGCGGTCAGCTGGCACATGAGTGAAGTCGGTTAGATCATAGCCAAAGCCTCAAGCAGCAGTTAGAACAGCTTCACTGCAACTCTTGCTTAGTGCTTTGATTGCAAGTAGCTGTCATATTTGTCCGGGACTCCAACTAATATGTTGCATATGGCTGAATGGGTACCTCAAAAAGCACAGCAAATGAGCAAGTTTCAAGATCTTACGATGGCTAAGAATGGTGTTCGGCGCACTCTACAATGGCTCCCTTGATATGCATGGAAAAAGCTGTGAGCTGTTTGTCCAGGGTACCTTAGCAGGCATGTATCTCAACTGCTTGGCATTTGAGGGTGAAGTCTCGTGGTTGTCTGCAGTGCTTGCTTGGCTTCACACAAAGACGGTAGAAAAGGCGTCCGTTTCGTCCGAGCTTCATGAACACCTGACGCATGTCATTCCATGTCATTCCAAACCTGAGGCTGCAACCGCTTCATGCATTCTCGCATGTGAGCGGTCCTTTCCCCTCGTAAGCTCGCGAGCGAAGGCATTAACTATACTCTCCAGCTTTTCTTGCACAACCTGGCGCAGGTTCCAATTCAGAAGGTCAATGGACCTGACTGGCATCTGCAAACAAGAAGAAAACTTTCTGAGCCTCCTTTTCCCTTGCTCCCAGCTTGTCCCAATCTTGAAGCATGGGCAAAGGCCTTGACTTCATAGCTACCAGCATCCCGTATCCCAATTTGCCAAGATTCATTTCGAGATGATTAAGCTTTCAGGCCAGTCAGGAGAACTGGATACAAACAGCATCCTCTCCCACGTCAAGCTCATTGTGAAACAGTGAACTGAAGAGTAATCTGCTGGCAGAACTGAACAGCTCTCTGAAAGAACTAGTGAGAGAGACAGAGAATTCGCTCTCGGTGCCCAACGTGCTTACCCTCCCCGATGAATCTGGTACCTTGAATCTGGGTCCCATGACTTGAAGTGTATTTGTAGTGTTTATCTGTCAGGATAGTCTGAACGCATGGAGCACTATAGGAGCTGGTCCATTGGTTTCAACCCTGCAAATGCCAAGCTGTGCACAGCGATCCAACTTGCATTGCCACAGTATGAATGACTTGGTGGGCCTCATCCGCGAACTTTGCGCACAAGGTCCCCCGCCATCGCAGCAAAACAGCGACATGACCTTTGTAGGAAGAGAGCATTGGCAGTTCATCTCACCTCATCTCCACTGCGAGGGTTGGGCCAAAGAGCAGCTCCTCAGGAGCCTGACAGATCGAAATTTTGGGACAGGTCTGGCCTTTGAGGGTTCTCAGTGTGTCAGGCAACTCGGATCAAGCCTTGGCTTAACGGCTGCAACAAGGTATTCCAGGCACTTTGCGGTGCCAAAGCACAGGCATTTCAGCTTGAGCCTATATGGTCAAGTTGTCCAATTTTATGCCATGCACCTGCTCAAGTCGCTCCAAACCATTGTTTGTAATCCAAAACCCAACATTTTTCCTTTTGCATCTCCTAGAAATGTCCATCTACTCAATCTACTATCTATCCCTCACAAGACACACTGGCTTCGCCATCAAGAAGATACCCATCTACAGCGCATTCATCAACCTTGGTCTTTCTTAGGCCACTAGGGTCACTAGAGCACGCCAACCAGCAAAACTATGAGACCCCCACCATGTCTGTAATCTTGAGCTCAAGGACCAGCAGCCCAGTATGTATGTCGTTTGTAACATCCTGAACTTTTCTAACAATCGTCATATGTTTTGCAGAACATGCCGGAACAATGAATTGGACGCAGTGTCCTCTTTGTCAATCACAGTTGCTTCCTCATTGTTGCGGCGACCACGGCCAGTGTCTATGGCCTCATTCTGGCGTATCGTCTTGTCCCGACAGTTGTCGTAGTTTAGGGTGCTCAATGATACCGAGTGCTCCTCAAGTACGCTTCCGACCTCATGGCAAGGGTTCTTCCCAGGCTTCAAGTCGGCAGCCTTGATTTTGTTGTTCACCTCAAGTTCTTGGCTCTTCCAGTACCTCTCTCTCTCGAACTGAGCAAGAATCTAGCCTTGACTGACTCAATTCTTTCCTTGGTGCCATCAAGCTCGTCAAAGTCTGTTTGGTTGACCCTGCAGACAAAGAAGCTGAAACAATCAGAATGATTAGTTTTCCCCAAACCATCGAGCCTCACTGTCAAAAAACATTTTCGCGAAGTCAAATTGTACAAGTCCACAGACAAGACTGTGGCTGCACTGCAACCTGGATCCTGTAGGGGGAAAGACAGCAAGTCACAATGACTCAAAGAGCGTCTACCAGTTGAATTTCTACCCCACACATACACACACCAATGCTGGCCTTGCACCTAAAGCGGGCAGAATCGCTCGTCTTGAACTCTTCTTGAACCTGCTCAGGTGCCTGTAGCGAAAAAGGTCTGCCAAAACCAGGGTCAATGACCTATCTTTCAGATTCATCTGAAACAAACCGGACATGCAATGCTTTGACACACAAAAAGCAAGGCTTGTAAACTCCAAGCCAAACGCAGTTGACTTTCTCTGCCTTGAAGGTGGTAGTGGTCGTTGTCGACGGAGGAATAGTGGTGGTTGAACGAGCGAAGCAGGTCATCACCACAAGCCCACTGTCACAAGCAACTGATGCAAAAAAAATAGAAAAACAACCATGCGATGCAGGAGACTTGCAATGCATTGCCTCAGGTGGTTGCCATTCACAGGGCATTCATCCACAGCCGGCGAGATCTTTCCTTTGTGCCAGGACTGGCTTTGGTTTTTGTCTGCGTCTGGTCGTGTTGCTGAGCGCATTGCCAGAGACGTTCACATGCCCATCCGTGCCAACCAGGCCCTGAAGAAAATCTTGCGAACATTCAAACCAACCAAGCCACAGCTAAAACAGCTAGATGCTAGCTAACCTCCAGTGGAAGGTCACGAATGCACCTGGGCTGCAGGCAAAGCTAGTCACTGTCTTACCGCAAAGCGGCAAACCGAGACAAGGCGCGGATAGAGAGGGAGATCGGTGATGTTGCGCTTCTTTCTCGGCCCGGTACCTTGGTCTCGATACAATCATTGTACAATCATTGTCACCCCACCGCTGCTTTGTCAAGCATCCAGCTTGAGGACTTATTTCGTCTCTTCTGGATGTCCTTCCAACAGCACCGGCATAAGGAACAACACTTGCATCACTGGCAGCGCCTGCTTGAAAAAATGAAAGCACGGAGCTTCTATCTGCTGCCAAACCAAGGATCCAACTCTCGAAAGTAGGGAGGGATCATCTAAGGGAACTTCCAGGTCAGAGTCGAGAGCTCCCATTTGCTCGTTGGTCTCACAACCTGCTTTTGTCCAAAGAAGTAAATCCGTGATTCAAAAAGAGCTGAGCTAGACTTCTATACGGAGAGGATGCAAAGGACAATCCCAAAAAGGGCCACCTTTGGGAGCACGAGGACTGAAGTCTCGCACTGCCTCGACCATACGTTGGTTGGGACATTCATTCACAGTCGGAATGGCTAATGATGCATAACATTGACCTCTTTCCCGTTGATGACTATCCACTCAATCTTTTCGATATTGTACCTGCAGGTCTGAAACTTAAAAGTTCAAAGGGAAACCGCCCTCGTTCTCAGGAGCCAGCTCATCATCGAAGTCTGTAGGGTTGACCATCACTGACAGGGTACACCTCCATGAATTGCAAGTACTGACTGCATCCTCACCTTTCTTCTCTGTTTGTTTGCCCCGCTCCGCCCCTACTTAGTTAAGTAGGCGCCTACTTAATTAAGTAAGGGACTAGTAAGCTACTAGGTACAGGAAGCTCCTGGGTAGGACGCAGGATAGCTCACGCTTCTTCAAGGAAGCTCCCCCCGCTGAGGGCGGGGGGAGCTTCCTTGAAGAAGCGCTCGCACTAATGATTTGTTTTCTAGGTTTCTGGCCTCTCGTACTGCATTTTGCCATTCTCAAATGCCTCTCGTCAACAGTAAGAGGCAACACCTCTTCAAATAAGAACAAAATAGTTGTGCAACTTAGTGTCGCCTTCAACGAGGTGTTCGCCGTACAGCCTGGCGGTCCGCAGCTCCATTCAGCAGTCCTTGGGTTAACAACTTGCCAAACCTGACAGCTTTCGACTTGTGATGAAAGTCAATTGGACAATATGGCACAAGCAAACATATGTCCTCTTCACCTCGCTCCACTCCAGGTAGAATTGGGAAGAAGCAGGAGATGGCGCCCTGGAATTGCCCATCTTGTAGGCATTAAGCTATATAACTCAGGCAATGCATCAAGTGTCATGTCCGAGTGTAGGACCTTGGACGTCCAAAATAATCCTGCTGATTGACAGAGGTGTCGAACCAAGTAGCTTCCTGCAGTCGCAGGTGACTGCGAGAAATACGAGCGACAGTTTCCCAGCCTTTCCCGGCGGCTTTTCCTGGAGGTTTAGTCAAAGATTAAAAGATTCTATTCCAGGACACCATTGAAATGCTGCGTTGCTTGGGCCAAGACTGATCTGCTCTTCCTCAGGCTGCACAAGTGACGCACACCCCCAAGGATTCAGCTGAGCTGCAGGCATTCTGGATTGCACAGGCACCCAATCTTGCTTGGTCCTGACAAAGACTATAACAATCTCTAACAGACACAGATAGATCTGTGAATTCC